ATATTAATATATATAGTGCTTTTCTTTTAAAAATTGCTGTATACAAACAGAAAATTGGCACAAGAGTGTTGCTGTTTTGTGTTTTAGCTCGCGCCTAGATGTATGTCTGTAGCATAGTTGCACCATGTGTATACCGACGCATACATACTCGTCTGGGCATTCATATTGAACGATTTGATATTAAATACTGGGTATACGTGCTGCCTTGTTTGTCCCTCCACTACTGATTGAAAGTAGGAGTGCGCATCTATGCTTGAGTTCGGATTTGGGTGCCTGAATAACTATACAGTACGCCATACGGCCGATCCAAAAGACAGGTGTAAATACCATATATACCCGCTACGATGTTTTATTCACTGTTGTGAATTCCTTCCAATTCTTCGAGCAGACTTCCTGAGCCGGCGAAGTAAGTTCAAAAAGGGCGAAGGAGTCCCCGAGCTCAAACCAGGACAGACGTTTCATCACGGCAGGGGCAATGTCATGCCTCTGCCACCCCAGCAGCCACATTATCTGAGCGAGGCTGAGAATGATTCTCCCAACACTGAGGAGCATACGAATACGTATACACGTACTCCATCACATTCACGGACACATAGTGGTAGAGATACCAATACCATCGCTACAACCACCATAAATCCTCGTACGGTACGGGACAAGCCCACTCCAGCCATGGGCGAACATACAACCAGAGGTGTACAAGCACCTAGGTATGAAACATATACTGATGAAGAGGATGCTGAAGCAGTGGCTCAGGCGGAGAGAATAGACTTCGCGACCGAATTGATCAGTGAGTATGCCAGCCGGGGGCTGCTGAGTTTCGATGAGAAGCTCACACACAAGCAGCAAGTGCGTGCGATTAAAAGCCTTACGAACTCGTTGCCGCACCTGGAATTCACGCGATGGTCCGATGTCCCCATGATATTGGGTAGCAAGTACAGCCGTCAAACTCCGGGTGTTCTGGAGGTCCCTTTTAATTTCTCACGCGCTGGCTTCCGCAGTTACTTCTTCAAGAACATAGACAGCATAGTCCAGGAGATGGTGGAAAACACGTGACAGCGATGTATATATATACAGACTAAGCATTACCTGTATTGAACTTCTCATGCTGACCTTGGTGGTAGTCTACCACAAACGTTCGGCTGACCGATTTGAGTCACCCCCATTCAGCTTAACTAATGACATGGGATTAAACAGACGCATATAACCACTGAGTGCTCCTGCCAATTGACGATACAAGCATTAAATATACGATGTATTTATCTCTATTAAGCTTGTACCTGCTAACTATAGTCTGCTGATTCCCTCTTTTTCGGGGTCGGAGTTTACGGTCAATCATGATACTTGACCAATAATTGTTGAGTTTTCTACGAGTATTTTCATGTAACCTTAAGCATGCCAACAGGTTTATCTATAGAATATCACTAGCTTGTTGACGTGTGACAAAATTATGAATTACTGTATAACCAATGCTCCAATGTTTAGAGTTGCGATACGTATTTATACCGTCGTCGAATCCTCGTTTTTATATCAATCTCGTCATATCTTGGTCAATTAATTAATTTGTGTCCCACACGGTTGCCATGTGTAAAAGCTTCACGATGAACATTCGTTTTGCGCTAGATGACGATCAACTCTAGAAGTTCCTATATTTCGCCAAGCCTGAGATCGAGGGTTGCACAATGCACCGAGGTTTATATATTTTCAAGGCATGCTAGAAGAGGGGTTTCAGTTGCTTGAAACGGACGGTCACAAGGACAAGCAGTACGTTGTCCATGTACGACGGATGTGTACCCTTTAGCTTTCCAAATTGGCAAGGTGATAACAGGCAACGAAATACAAGAATTTAGTCACGTCTAATATAATATTTTAGGCACAACTCCCGAAGGAGCTCAAGGATACCGTTCCCTGCTCTCGAGATCGTCGACCAACAGATAATAAAAAAACGCCATTTCTTAGTGCTCAGCCACAGTCATAGCGACCCGCATCCTATCGTAAGGCTACAGCGCACAAAC